CCTTTATTCCAGTAGTGATGATGAAGATGATTTGTAGTGGTGGTGGCAGTAACAGTTGGTGTTAATGACTAGTAATGGTGGTGGTGATAGTTACGATGGTGAGGGTGGTTGGTGTTGTAGTGATTGGTATGATAGTGACAGTTAGTTGCCACGCCCTGAGCCTACACCATGGACGTGGCGAGAACCATTTCTGGTCCCCAAGCGAACCCTTGGCCTGACTGACTACTTAGCGGAAGACTTACTCAAGCGATAACAGGCTTCGAAACATAAATTAGAACATTCAAACTCAAGCAAATACTTATTTCAAACCGTCTGTAAAATACTTAATAATATAGGTTTAATAGTTTGCAAAACATTTCAAGGGAAAAGTAAATACTAAGAGACTCCTCTACTCCGTCTATCTATGAAGCCTCAATAGTTCAACATGGATGTCGAGATAAGAACTATGACACACTAAAATGATTAAACTGAAAATAAAAGTGGAGTGAGGCTCACCAAATGTTAACTGGAGTGCAAAGTGATCTCAACGAAGCGCCTGTTGATGATCCCGAACACCTGTATCTGCATCATAAAAAGATGCAAGTCGAATGACGTCAGTACATTGAATGTACGAGTGTGTAATAAAGTTGAATGAATAAATAACTGAACTGATAAGTCACCTCAACTCAACTCAATGCAAAACAATAATAAGAGACGAAATATTTAAAGCTTCATAAATAAAAGATGCTAACTCAAGGATGTATATAAACATACAATACATTACTCTTTACTCTTATTTGGGAGATTATATAACCAACAACCATCACTGTGAGCTATGTGATGATACAACATCTCGCCTACGCTGCCAGAATTGTCCTATACCTTGCTGGGGTATAGAACACCTCAACTAAGTGGATCCACTAAAGCTCTGCTTGAAAGCAATAAACAATCATCTAAAAAGTATGATCCTTTACCCTGTTGGCTACATCGTTTATGAGGAATACGAGTTGTCTGAACTCATCCCCATATCGATGGTCAAGACTACTCCCAATAAATATATACTCATGCTCAAATGTATAAAACATACTATTTATCAATTTGAGGTAATTGCTCTGAAATAACTCTGAAATCATTACTCGTTTAGAAATCAAAGTTTCTCTTTTCTCACTATAAAATTGATAAATTTGGAAATCAATAGTTCCTTTAAACTTTAGTCAAAATGTCTCTTTAGACTTTCCTCAAAACTCCTCTTTACTTTCTCAAAAAATCAATTTAAGATAATTGTTCGGTTAAAAAGATTTTCAACAATAACTCAATGAATACTCAAATAATTGGGTTCATGCTGAAAAATAGACATGAACAATCAACTCAAAAATCTCGATGCATAATATATAACAACTCAAAAATTAGGAATAGCAACTCAAAAAAAATTCTTGTTTTTTTTGACTTTTTTTTCTATTTTCTTTTTTATTATTATCATTGTACAAAAATGAATGAATCAATTACTACTCCATTATTATTTAATATAAAAAACTTAATTGTCTTTATTTTCATTACTCCCATGACTTTTGATAGTCATAACTCCCAATTCATATTAATAGTCATGTTCATGATATCTTTTGGTATTTCATATAATGTCCTATAAATAGAGGTATTAAAAAAAATTTGTTAAAGAAGAAATGATCAAATTTATATGTATAGTAGAGCCAGGGATTAACTAGGTAAAGCCATTTGGTCATCTTTTTGATCAAGGATCTCAGTCTTTTTTACAACTTTATAAAATAGTATTTTATAGCTTATATATTGTTTTCAGGTTTCTTACTTATATGAGATTTAATTATTTTATTGCATGTGCTTTTTTTGTTGAATGGAAAAAATACATCTTTTCCAGGACATTTGATAAACGGATTGAATTTCAATCTAGCAATTTAGTGGGAAAAATCTAAATCTGCTCTCGAAAGGTATAATTATTTTTCTTTCTTATTTACATGTAAGTCGTACTTTTATTACTTGAATTTTATTGTAAGAACTTGACAAGGATTTTCAAGTAATGCAAATTTTATATCAAAAGCTCATTGTAAAATTACTAAAAACTCATTTTTTAAAATTTTTCTTTAATATAAAACTTAATGGTCTTTATTTTCATTACTCTCGTGATTTTTTATTATTATAACCTCTAAAATAGCTAATAGTCATATTTTTGTATTCTATATTGTAGTCATATAAATAGGGATATTGTAAACTTTGTTGAAATGAGCACATTAGCATTTTAAGTTGTCATGTTTTTCAGTGCTTGTTATGATGATGTTTTTGATTTGACTTGAAAGAATAGATGAAGGATACCGAATGGTGATTGTGGCTTGTAGAAGTGGATATTGAATACAAGAGCTCAGACGACTGTATATTGATTTCGTATTTTTTAAAATATTTTAATGATTAAATCATAAGAATGATATTGTATTATTTTTTTATTTATTCGTTTAAGTTCTCTCATCTCTTTATTTTGTCTTTTTATAATGTTTTGATTGTTGTAAATTTATAATTTATTTTTCTTCAAAATAGTAACTTATGATGACTTTGTTGGACATAATTATTTCTTCTTCTGTTTTTAGCCTTCTACTTTCTCAAAAATGTCTAAATATAAATAAATTTCCAAAGAATTTTCAATTACAAATCATCCCCTACAAGTTTTAAAGGCGAAATGGTCTGATGGACCCTTATACTTATATGAGTTTGTATTGTGAGTCCTTTTACTTAACTTTTTATCAACTGAACCCTTAAATTCAATAAAACACAATATATTAAACCCCTTTGACCATGCTTATGTGGCATTAAAATGACTGAGTTGGCGAGAGAGTGTGATTACACGCGTGTTAAGGAAAGTGAACACCATCTTTTAAATTTTAAATTATTAAAATTATAAAAGAAAAAAAAGGGAAAAAATCCATTTTCTTCCCCCCACTCCATCGTTGCCCCAACCCCTTTTTTTTTCCTTCTCCACACCCGATGTTTTCTTCCTTAGCCGATCTTAGCATTAGCACTTTCATGACGTCAGGTTTCATGGCGATTATCAGTGGAGGGAGAGAGCAGTGTTGGTTTCATGGTGGTGCTCACCGGTTTGCAATGGAGTGAGAGGGAGAGAGGTGGAGTTGGTCCCTTTTTCGTTAGAATGGGACGCGGTGCTGGTTTCTTTTCCGCGAGAATGGGAGGCAGCGAGAGAGTTTGCTAGTACACCGGAGAGGATGGAGAGGAGACGCCATTTCTAATGGTTCGCAGGGGTCATCGGTAGTGTAGAGAAAGGAAAACTAGTGAAGAGGAGAACAAGGAAGGAGATGGCACGAGGAACTGGTCATGGCGACGAAAAGGTTTGTCGGCCGGAGCTGGTGGTGCGGCTGCTTACGATGGTTGGTTCTGAGAGAAGAGTAAAGGAAACAGTGTGCGTTAAAGGAGCACAGATTTTACTTTAAGAAATAAATTTTTTTTTTTTTTTTTTTATCTTTTATTTAATAAATTTAGTTAATAATTTTTTAAAAAGAACAATTGGTGAAGATAATGATGATGTATTATTAATTTAAATGACATGGATTTGACATGTCATCTACTTAAGGGCGAGTGAACTACACACATAGTAGGAGGGATTTAAAACTCTTCTTTTGATTCAGTATAAGGGTTCAATTGATAAAAGGTAAATAAAATGGTCCATAATACAAACTCATACAAGTACAAGGGTCCATCAGACCATTTCGCCAGTTTTAAATAACACTAAAATCTACACAGTAATGACTCAAGTTTCTTGAGTTTTTCATCTTTACTGTAATCTTTGGCAAGTAATTCTATTTAGTTTCTTCTTATTTTTTTTTACAACTTTTCTATTTTTTTATTGTAGAATAATAAATATATCAATTATCCGTTGTTTCATAATCTTTAATGCAAAACTTAATGGTCGTTATTTTCGTTACTCTCATAACTTTTATTATCATAACCTCTAAAATAATTAATAATCATATTCATGACATAATTTGTTATTCATATTATAGTCCTCTAATATAAGAAGCATTATATGACTTTGGAGAAATGATCACATTAGCCTTTTAAATTGTTATGTTTTTTGTGCTTATTTTATTCATTCTTTAGTTTGACTTGAAAAATAAAATGAAGGCTATTGAATGGTGATCCACTTGTGGAAATGGATGTCAACAAGAGCTCTAAAGATTGTATATTGATTTTCTATTTATTTTTTAAAAAATTATTAAGATTGTAAGAAAATGTTGCATTTTTTTGTTATTTTGTTTGGTCTTGTAGACTTGGGTTTGGATCCTTTTTGGGTCCAAGCAAGATTTCATTTTTTTTTTAATAAATGGGCCATGCCCAAGATTTCACGTGGAAAAAAAATGTTGCATTTTTTTTTGTAGTTTTCTTTATGATTTCTCTTTGTTTTGTATTTTACATAAAAAAATTTATTATCGTAAGTTTGTATTTTCTTTTGGTTCAAAAGAGTATTTATGACTCTGTCGGAGGTCATCTAATTACTAATAAATTTTTTTTTTCTATGAAATCAATTATATGTATAGATAAATATATATTGACATTTTATCGTCTTTTATAACTGCGCAAAGCATGAACAAATTCACTAGTTAATTATTAAAGGGATGATATTGTTTTAACTTTTAAAATGTCAAAAGCTTGAAAGCCAAAAAATTTGAATATATCAGCAACATTATCAAAATGAAATTAAAGAGGAGATTGTTGGACTTCTCTGCCATAATTAGTGGGCGTGCCTTTTCACATTTGATTTCTGTTTTCCAATGAAGAATTAATGACCATCAAGATACAATTAATTAGATAAATTTGGTTTATATAGCAAAACTGTTAATTTAATGAGAGAAAAAAAATTACTATTATTTTAGAGTAAGTATTTTCGTAATATAACTTTTAACTTTAATGATTAATGATATATATATGGTATGATATGATATGATATTATATTATATTATATTATATTATACGATATATGATGATGATTGTACTAGAAAGTTAAAGTGATACTTTACTCTTCTTATTTTCTCTATTGTTTGTGTGTTATTTGTAGGAGATTTGAAGCTTTGCAAAAGATGGAGTCAAGCATGAAGCACAAGAGAATTGTTGTTGAAGATGAAAAAGAAAAAGAGGTTTGCTCCTTATAACAATTCGAGATAAAATGTTATTTCTCTTTTGTATCTGAGCAAATAGAGTCTGTATGAAACTCTAACCAGAGATTTAGGTTTAAGAACTCTGAATGGAAATAATAACAATTTCTTGTTATCATGAAACTCGTCATCATGCCTTTCTTCTCACCTTTATTGTAGTAATGTTATCCTGATTTTCTTATCATATTTGAGTTTTTCTCTTTTCTGAAAGGAAAGTTAATTTAGCATTACCATTTATGCTTCTACTTTTCCTTGTATTTTTTTTTATTTTTCTTATAGTTCGAGAAATCTTAGCAGCAATTTAGAGGCTATTTTCAATCACGTATAATTTGTTTCAAGTTCTTTTTAGGGACTTAAGAAGTACGGTGGATGATACTCTTTTAGTGCGTTGAATGATTATGAAAGATATAGTTCATTTGATTTAGAACTGATCCTGGTCAGGGAAGGCCAAGACGGGGCTGGTTAGATGCGTGGGTGTTTAGGGCTCATAGTATCCCTTTTGATTGATCTACTAAAACAGGAAGGCTTTGAGACTTACTAAGGCGGGTTGTGGACTCTTTCATTAGGTAAGGGAAGAAGGGGCCTAGGCACGACAAATGTTGTACAGTTGAGTGGCAGAGGATTTTGAAGAAGATTTAATTGTATTGTCGATGACATGATTTTTACCTTAAAATTTTGCATTCTTCCACCTTTTCGTCTCTGCTTTAGAATGTTTTCGTTTTGCTGGTGCTTATGAATACCGTTCTTGTTTTGTTTATCCTCTTGCAGATGACTATAGACGTGAAGGTCACTAAAACAATCACTATAACAGTTAAGGAATCAGATAGTATCGGGCACGTGAAATCCTTAATACATGATCACGAAGGCATACCGGAATGTCTTCAACAGCTATTTTCAAAAGATGTTCGCCTAACAGATGATGAACAGAAGCTAATGGATTGTGGCATTATCGAAAACTCCACCCTTCATGCTTATATCGACAATTCAGTCCCGAAGGTATTTTTGGTGAAGAGACCCCATGCTAATGTTACAATTACGGTTTATTCAAGGACATTCGATACTATCCAGGATGTCAAATGTAGGATTGGGGTCAAAGCAATTTTCTCTTATTCATGATGGAAAGTTTCTTGAAGACGACAAAACCTTAGCTTTTTACAAAATCAATGGTGGATCAACACTTCATATGGTTTCCATTCCGAGAGACAAGTTGCTTATTTCCGTGGTAATGCCAACAGAGGAAATTGTTAAAATAGAAGTCAAGGTTGCATTACCTGTTTGCGACATCAAAACTATTACAGAAAACAGAGTTGGCTACTCAATAAATTCTATGGATTTGTTTCTTGGGAAACAGAAATTGGAAGATTCGAAGATATTATATCAGTGTGATATCAACGAAGAGTCTGTCTTAAAGGTGAAGAGTAAAACAATACAGATCTTAATCAAGACGATTGGTGGAAGTATTACACTAGACGTGCACAGGCACGAGTTGGTCAAGGATGTGAAGGGCATGCTTCTACACAAGCTAAACATACCAGTTCATCTTCAAAAACTTGTGTTTGAAGGAAAAAACCTAGCTGATTCCCGGGATTTAGCAAGCTACAATATCAGAATGCACTCGAATATCATTTTTGATTTTCGTAGTTCTGTTTCTACGTATATTATGAGTTACCAACAACATTGTGGATTCAAGTAGTACCTCTGGTTCTCATTTGATAACGTTGATCAGGAACGAACTAAAACTACCTCTTAACTTGTTTTTTGGAAGGTGGTGAACTTGTTTTGTTTTTCAAACATGCTTTGATACGTTTTAGTTGAATGGATTGTCTTTTGAAAACAGTCTTTCTGACTTCTCAAGGAAGATAAAGGAGAGCTTGATAACGTTTTTTTATTTCAAATTCAATTTTGTTTGCTTGATAGATCATGGTATTTGACCTTTCTCCTTCTTAGTTTTTACATGCATGTTAATTAGTAGATATTTTTTACGCCTAAATAGAATTAGCGAGGTGCGTAAGGCATGATATAACACTATTAGATACTATATTCGTATTCACAACAAACAAGCTTTTGTCGATTAATGAAGAGTTAAATTTAAAAGGCAAAAAAGTATAGCATTATGATATTACTAAATCTATTAACATTTTACTTTGAGGTTTTGTACTTAATGTAGGTTGATGAGTACATTTGTATTCATTCATACCTATAAGTTTTTGTCTATAAATGAAGAACTAAATTTAGTTTTAAAAGGCAAAAAAGTAAACATTGTGAGATTACTTATTCCATTCACATTTTACGTTGAGGTTTAATATTTTTATTCATTCTTATTTAATATAGAGTGTGCATCATAGAATATTTAGTTTTTTCTTCTTCTTAATTTTTACATGCATGTTAATTAGTAGAGACTTTTTATGCCTAAAAAGAATTAGTAAGATAAGATATAGCCCCTTGCTTGTACTTTTCTTTTGAGTTTCGCTTTCATCATATAAACTAATCTCTTGACACATGCGCTGCAGATGTGTCTCATGTTAATTTTATAGATTCGTTAATAGTTAGCAAACTTGCTATAAAGTCACAAATAACTAATTTGAGTCCAAATAAAAATATAGACTTACGAAAGTTAAAATGTACGATCCTTCTAATTAAGATGAGTTCTTATTGACTCCTCTCATGTCCAATCAAAATGTTAAATATTTTTTTTGGTCAAAAGATAAAATATTAGATTAGTTAATAGGTATCAGTACATAATGGCAACTCAATTTGTTTGTCGGTAGGAGGGGGGATGGAATTACTAGTACAAATATTACTATTATATGATATATATTAAGGCTTGGTATGCGTAACAAAGAGTTCCTATTTTGTTTGTCTCTATCTTTTATGAGACAAAAAATGGTAAAACTTCCAGCACAAAACATAGTAGGCTTGCTTCATTTTACACCCCTTCTTATCTAGCAATAAGATTCATAATTTCCTAGCAATCCATATTGATTTCTAAAGGTGTTAAGTTTTTTGCAATTGCTATGTTAAGGCCTTGGACGAGTGCTAGAAGTTCGGCCTTGATGTTATTTTTGGCGTAAAGGTTCCTCATGTACCCTAATTAGGGATGGGAATGGGGCGGTGTGGAACGGAGCGGTGTGGGTTGAGCTTAACCCGCAAAAATTTTAATCCGCCTCGCATAATAATTTTTTGAGCAACTTTCACATATAGAAAACATAAAAATCATATTTGTATGTTATAGCTATAGTTTGTATAATTGAGCTCCATAGCAAATTTTATGTTTGCTAAGGAGCTTTTGATTTGTATAATTCGCTACAAACATCCAATTTTATACAAATTGTTCAGTTTTGTATTAATTCATTTATACATTGTAATTTGTATAATAAGATTTGTATTTGCATAATTATAAGTGTATAAGACGAAAATATATGTATTTGTATTTGTATATACACTTTTCTCTCGCTTTTATACAAATACAAACACATTTTATACTGAAATGTATAAAATGGCTAATTGTATACCAAATCAGATGGCAAAAAAAAAGGGAATGTTTGCAGCGAATTACAATTAAAATAAACTATGGCTATAACATTTAATTTGAATTAATAGTTTGATATTTCATACAATTTTTCTTAACTTTTTTCATTTTCAATCCGCCCACATGAACCTGTCCCACATAATTTTTTTAATTTTTTTTTTCTAGTTAAGTTTGATACTAAAAATAATATTCATAAAAATAAATTTATTTTTTCAATAAGTTGTACTAATTTAATAGGATAGTGACTTAAAATTTTATTTTTTAGAGGTCAATTGGGAAATATATAAGAAATTGTATTCTTTTTTATTGAGTCGTTTTCATTTATCTATTTTTTTTTTCTAGTTAAGTTTGATACTAAAAATAATATTCATAAAAATAAATTTATTTTTTCAATAAGTTGTACTAATTTAATAGGATAGTGACTTAAAATTTTATTTTTTAGAGGTCAATTGGGAAATATATAAGAAATTGTATTCTTTTTTATTGAGTCGTTTTCATTTATCATCTTGAATATTTTAGTAGCTTTAATGAAATTATCTTAATAAATAATATTTTATCACTCTTATAACATGTAAAAAGTTAAAACTAAATTTGAACCCACATAAAATCACATATACCCGCAACCCGCCCCACCCCACATTAATTTTTTTTTAAAAAAACACTTCAACCCGCCCCGCCCCGCATCCCACCCGCTCCGCACAACCTTAAACCCACCCCGCCCCATTGTCATCCCTAACCCTAATATCCACTTTCCATTTGTCTCTTAAAACCCCTCTTGTACCTCCCCTTTTACGTACTTCCTAGTGAGGATCCGTCAGTATTTAACTTATATCTTCGTGTAGGTGGTTTCCCCTTTTATCTATTAACTAATTTTAATAATAAAAAAAGGGAAAATATTCAAATTTAATGTGATCAATATTTTTAGAGTTAAAGAAAAATACAAGACGTTTGAAAGTAAATGGTTGCAATTAGGTTTTTGCTTTGATTAATTAATATTATGCAGAATATCAAAATGGCTAGCGAAGAAAATTTAGTTAAATTCACAAATATTGATCCCGAACCATCCCCCATTTAAAGAAAGAATTACTTCAATCCACTCTGCTACCTCATCTCGTCTCACACAATTTTAAACCCACACCATTTTACGTAAACTTAAACCTTCCCCACCTTGCATCCGCATCACCCCACTTGCTATCCTATCTACAAAATTCATTCCCTATGTATGAGGAATGTAGAAGGTCAACCACTTCAAATGAAGTCATCACTTCAAATCATTTTTAAAAAAATAATCAATTTGGCCAAACAATTTTCTATAAAATGCCAACAAGAAAAGGAAGAATGAATAGGTCATCAACCTTCTAACGTTTCTCATTTTTTTCTCAACTTCTCCCAACTACTCTTAAAGGTTCACGCGGAATTTGTAATCCTCAAAGTCAAGTTTATTATACCTAGGTAAAGGTGTCAAAATGGATAAATTAGATTGAATTCGAGCTGATCAAATAAAATAAATCAATAAATAAAGGGAAAATTATATTTATTGGACATGAAAAAAATAAACTAATTATCCGTCCATAGCCTACTTTTAGTTAACTCTTTTTATGTCTTTTCTATCCAAACAAATTACCTTGCGTGCCTCCTTCCTAGTCTAAGTCCAATTCGCATTTATTTGTTTGATATCATCACAATATATATATATACTATGATGGTATCATTTAACATTCATGTAATTTTTTTTGAATATATGTTATGGCATCATTGAGGATTTTAGAAGTTTCTCATTAAGGATTGAGAATTGACTTGGTGAAACAATGATTGTTCTTCAATTATACAATTTCAATATCATAATAATATATGAATATACTATGGTAGTATTATTCATGTACCATCGCATAACTTAGGAAAACTTTTATGATACCATCACAGTATATATATACTATGACAAAAACATACCTAGTTTATGTTATGCCTGAGTCAAATACAGAATAGTATATAAATGCACCCGGAGTGGTTTACTACATTCCTGCTCAATGACGTATGTGTGAAGCCAATTTGGATAGATAGTTAAATGATTTGAAAGATTATGAACATATTACCAACCTTGTGATTTAACAATTCAATAGATATCTTAATATGCTTAACAACAATAATCAGATAAAATAAAAATTCGAAAGCAACGTATCCCTAAGCCTTAATTATTTATGTTAACAACTCTTAATATACCCATCATTTTATTTGCATTATTTTTAGTTGACAAAATCAGTAGTATAAACAACATATTTTCTAATTTTTTTTCTCGAGGATGCTTCTCCATAAGATCAATCTTCCGATCGAGACTTCGCATATCCATTAAACCTTATTGAAACATGTCCACCCCTTATTGTGCCACGCAATCTAGACAAGTTTTCTCGAATATAGCTTTATGTATTATTTTGTATCTATATTATGTATATTTATGTTTTCAAACTAGAGGTGTTAAATGGGTGTGTTGAGTTAAATTTGAAGGAGTTAGATTTCGTTGAATTAATAAATGAGCGGGAATAACCCGCTCAAAACCTATTGAGGCTGAAACGCGCTAAAATGCAGGTCATAATTCAATTCACACAATTTTTATTAAGTTTTAATTGGTTTATATATTGTTGTTTAGAATATTTTAGTACCTAGTAAAATGATTTTATTTCTCTTTATTATGGTTGTATAAAACATATCATAAACAAAACAAAAAATTGACAAGATTTCTCATGTGCCAAGTTGGACTACATATCAACCCAATTTTTAGTAGATTGGTATGGATTAAGATGAAATGGATTGAGCTAATAAATGAATGGGTTCAAACTTGAACGGGTTGGACGGATTAAGTTTGATTTTTTCACCCCTAGTTCGGATCCAATATGTTGTTATTAGTGACTTGATCAAAAAGACTAAGGCATCATTTGTTTGCATTTAACGAAGGTGTTAATCTTAATTATTCAGATCTCACTCGTTTAAGTATGTTTATTTTCAAGGTCTGGATGTTAATCATTTAAATCTTAATCATTAAGTGCATTTGTTTTTCTTCTTTTACAACCATTTAATGGATAAGTCTGAATGATTAAGATCCATAACAAATTAAAGTCTTCATATCACTAAGATGCTTATTTAAAAATTCTACAAAGATGACATTTTACCCCTACTCTATCTATTTTCATCAACGACCCATAACCACCATTTCATCCATAACTATCTTCACCATCAATCACTATCACGCGAAATCAAAATTTTCACTAAAGGATGTCAAAATATAAAAAGGTAAAATCAGGTAAAAGTCAAA